TACCACTACTGTGCATGTGTGTCAAGGACAGAAAGGCAGATGTGGCAGTGGAAGGTGTCAAAGCAGTTTGGAGAGAAAAACAAAGTAAAAAACAAAAACAAAAAAAAAACYACCAAAAAACGATTAATCGATTATTAAATTAGTCATAGATTATTTTAATAATCAATTAGTCGTCGATTAATCGACTAATCGTGGCAGCCCTAGTATAGTAAGATATTTTAATTACCTCAGTTTGGAGAAACAGGTTATTCCTGACAGGACTGATGAGCTAACAGCTAGTACCCAAGACCAAAACCTTTTAAGATAATTAGTCAAGGAAAAACCCGAGCACATGGCCGGCGACGTCACTTCAGGCACGAGTGAATGATCTCCCTCTTCCTCCTCAAAGTCTCACTCTGTTTTTCTTTTTCATCTTCTTTCTAAAGTTCTGTCCTCCACCTCAAACAGAAGCTGCAGCTTCAGAAATCACCACTAAACACTAAAACTGACTAAAGTGAGCTCTAAACTACATCCTAATTATACAATACAAACACTAAATATCACAAATCTCTCTCTCTCCATTCTCTCCAAACTTTCTTCAACTTCCGTGACTTTTCTTCCTCCTGTGGTTTTTGTTTTTTTTTTGGTGCTTGATGAATAACTTAGAGTCTCAGTGAGAAAGGAGATGGGGTTTGTGTGTTTCCTCCAGCCTTGCACAGTAGAAATCATCACAAAAACTGCATTTTTCAAACCAGTTTACATGAGTTTTCAACATTTGCTACACAAAATGGGTATTTATTTACAACCCCAATTCCAATGAAGTTGGGACYTTGTGTAAAACATAAACACAACGCAATGATTTACAAATCCTTTTCAACCTATATTCAGTTGAATTTACTACAAAGACAAAATGTTTAGTGTTTTAATCTGGAACGGTCATGTTTCCCTCTGTGCTCCATCAGCTTTCCTTTTAACAACACTCAATAAGTGTTTGTGAACTGAGGACTCTTAAGTGTTAAAGCTGTAGGTGAATTCTTTCATTCTTGCTTGATGAACAACTTCAGTTGCTCAACAGTCCGGGGCTCCACACATTTTCAATGGAGACAGGTGTGGACTGCAGGCGGCTCAGTCTAGTTCCTGCAGTCTTTTACTCTGAAGCCACACTGTTGGAACACGTGCAGAATATGTCTTCATTGTCTTGTTGAAATCAYCAGGACGTCTCTGAAAAAGACATGTCTTGGATCTTGCTCCAACCTGGATGTAGCTTTCAGCTTTAATGAAGKCTTCACAGACAGTTACCCATACGGGCACTAATACACKTCCATACCATCAGAGTGTTGGTTTCCAGTCTTGCTGCATACTTGCAGAGATTTGTCCAGATTCTCTGAATGTTTTGAGGATTTTATGGACCGTAGATGATGAAATCACTAAATTACTTATAACTGTTCACTGAGAAACGGTGAACCTCGCACCATGCTTGCTCGTAAACGACTGAGCCTTTCAGGGATGCTCCCTTTATGCCAAACATGACACTCACCTGTTTCCGATAAACCTGTTCACCTGTGGAATGATCCAAACAGGTGTTTTTGGAGCATTCSTCAACTTACCCAGTCTTATGTTGCTCCTGCCTCAGCAGAATGTGTTGCAGCATCAAATTCAAAATGAGTGAATATTTGCAAAACAAACAAAGTTTATCCATTTGAACATTAAATATCTTATTTTTGGAATTAATCAACTGAAAATAGATTGAAAAGAATTTGCAAATAATCATCTGTTTTTATTCATGTTTTACACAACACCTCTACTTTGTTATTCATCATATTTCACTAAATCTGTAATATGAAAAAATGGTCTAGGACTTTAGAAACTGAATAGAGGTTTGTACCATTAGGGCTGCCACAAACGATTATTTTAATAATCGATTAATCACCGATTATTTATTCGATTAGTCGACTAATTAGATCATACGTTAATTGAATATAAAACATAKAGCTTATCYRGRCAGAATGCAGCTGCTATTATATAACCATGGTTAGATTTTAGCTATATGCTAACTAAAAATAATWGCTGTGGAAGGTAAGTTCTGCTCTGCAGATATTACACAGGTTTCTCTTTCATTTTCTTAAAATGATCCCACACTTTGAGCTCTGTTGTCAGGTAGCCATGATACCAGAGCCTGTCTGTATAATGTCTTGTGACGTCCACGGCCTACCCCAGTTACCACTACTGTGCATGTGTGTCAAGGACAGAAAGGRAGATGTGGCAGTGGAAGGTGTCAAAGCAGTTTGGAGAGAAAAACAAAGTAAAAAACAACAACAAAAAAAAATGATTAATCGATTATTAAATTAGTCATCGGTTATTTTAATAATCGATTAGTCGTCGATTAATCGATTAATCGTGGCAGCCCTATATATCATTGCTATTTCATAATCATTTTTATTACTGTGTTTTTCCACTACACTTATATTAACATGAATTGTTTTAAGACAGCAGTAATCACGTCATAAATGACTGATGTTCAATACGGTATCAACACCAGATTAATTGTTCAGAAGTTTACCACAGTTCATTGCTTCATAGGGAGCAAAATATTGTTTTAACTCTGATGCTTCATTTTAGGGAKGATTATTAGAATTACCTTTTTTCAGCAGAATAATGCCGATGTTTACATTTTTAACTCTTGTTTAGAAGTTAAGAGAAATAGAGTAAATCTTGTTATTTTAGTCTGAATTKTATGCATCAGAATTGGGACGTTGCTGTGTTATGTGAAGAAAAACAAATCACAGCTGTTTGAACCGTTTACCAGGACTGAATCTGTTACAGACCTATTGTATTTTTAATTTAAGAATATTTTGTTATGCAAAAAAGTAATAATTGCTACCTTCACGGAATAAAACAGATTGAATGTACTTTTTTATGACAAAATATGTAGATTTAAWGTAATGACTGAACTTCACTGTGCTTGCAGTTTGCATTAGGATTTTAATTCTGGAGCAAACTAATGCTCAAGATTATTCAAGAGGAAATGCTAAACATTAATTCAACATATCATTTTGGTATAAAACAGTCCTAAAAATGAACTTGAAATGTCTATCTCTGCTCATGCAATAATTTTAAGTGTTTATGGCATGAAGTTAATTGTTATGGGTTTAATTAACTACAGCAGGACCGTGAATGCACCATTTGTTCACTTTATGAAGTTGTAGAAATTAAGATGTATAGTAATGTCTCACCAACACTTATCCTTTACACTGTCTGCCATYTCCACTTTGTTTTACATGTATTTTGACTGTAGTGGGAATGTCCCAGCCCTAATAAATGTTTATGCTGCTCAGTGTTTTCAAATTCACGAGTCAGTCTTATTAAGCAACACGTTTAATAATGTAGGCTAGATTAGAACACCTCTGGTGAGGTTTGTGATAACTGATTCGTAATAAATGTGATAATAAACAAAACCAAAGCAGTATATGTACACCCTGTTTTAGATCATTTGAAACCGCGCGGAAGTTTTATTTTTATTTTTTAAGTGYTTTTAGTTCAGGCATCTTGTGGGACCGCATGATGTTGATATACGGGGACCTCGCTAACATACAACATCAGGCAGGTGAAGATGGCGGATGTGTTGAGTGTTCTCCGTCAGTACAACATTCATAAAAAAGAAATCATCGCCAAAGGAGATGAAGTGATATTTGGAGAGTTCTCTTGGCCGAAGAATGTCAAGACTAACTACATAATCTGGGGGTATGACAGTCTTGAATTGCTTTAAATTGTGCGTTTGTTTTCTTTTAGGCCCACAACTCGCGCTTCGGAACGACGTAAAGCTTATTAGCCGCGACTTGCTATGCTAACAGAACTCCAGCCCATCTTTGCCGTGATTAAAACTTGCGGTTTTATCCGGTTAACTTTGCGTGATTCTTTGGTATTGAGTCGTAGAGCACAGGCTATATTATGCTTATCCGTATTAGTGCTAAATATATGTTTTTAGAGTTGGGTACTCCAGTAAAAATCTGCACGGCCAAACTTACCTCAGTGATGCTAAGTTAATAGCAACTTCAGCTAGCTGCGAGTTGTTTAATGAAGTCTGGGGATCAGATTTGTGCAGGAGCACTTGTTTTGTTGTTTTTAATGACTCTAAACTAATTTATTGAAAGTTCAAGAAGCACCTTCTTACGCAGAACACATAGGCATYTCAAATTGACAGCAAAGTGTTCATGTGTCAATAACAGACAACTTAGACTTTTCCCAAATAAGATCAACCCACTATACCTATAATACCAGCTATTTGAAACATTTTTGTCCTACAGTATGCTTAAAGTAAACTTGATGACTMAAGTTTTTTTTTTTTACCTTCTATTCCACCAGTACTGGTAAAGAGGGGCAGCCCAAGGAGTACTATACTTTGGACTCCATCTTATTCCTGCTCAACAATGTACATCTGGCACATTCATCCTATGTGCGACGAGCTGCAGTAAGTATGGCCCTCTCTCACAGAATTGGTATAGTGAATAATTTTTAAAGTACTGTTTGCATTCATTTTCAGTGTGTCTTAATTAATCACAAGTACTTGTTGTTAACAGACAGAAAACATCCCTGTTGTCAGACGACCGGATCGAAAGGGCTTGCTGTCMTACCTCAATGGCGAGAGTTGTAAGTAGCGCTTGTTCGGCTATTGTGTTCTTGTAAGTGATAGAATAACTTGTGTCGTCTTYTTTTGAAGCACTTTTCTGAGCAGTAACAGCAACTAACCATGATTTGGAGGAGGAAAGCCCTGAATTTTTGCTGCTTTCCCTGCAAATTAGCGAAGCTATTTTTAACATGTTTTGGGAAATCCCGATATCCAAACGTGGTCGGAGGTTCCCTTTTTCAAATGTTGTCACATAGTCTTCATTATAACATGGTAAAATGTAGTTTAGACATGAATCATACCTTTCCAGGTGCATTTCCAGTTAGCCAGACAAGTTGATCAGTCTGTGGAACTGCTCATGATGTCAGGAACATTTAGGTATCAAAATAGCTTAAAATGTGGCTTTAAAAGTCAGGAATCTGAAATCTGCTTGTTTAGTTTAACCTAATATGTCTGAATCTCTCATCTGATGAGATGGGTCACACATTTATTTAATTTAATTTTATTTTTTGTCATGATAATGCGTTCTTTTTGTTTTTGATAATGTTTAATTATCACTACTTTTATAGGGTTCTGTGTGTTGTATTCATGATTAAATGTAACAAAATAAACCATTTCAAAGGTAACAGATCTTTGTAATACTTGGYTTARTTACATAATGACTTTAATTGCTGGATGTTCGGCCCCTCAGCTGTTAATTTGCTGTAACTGTGGCCCCCGGAGCAATTTAGTTGAATAGCCCTGGCTTATTTTATTTTGTTTATTTATGTTTTGTTGACAACTGTGACCTTAGTATCTATCTTTCATTCCTCGTGTAGTACTGAAAAACCAGAAAAAAATATAAAATAAAATTTAAATCCTTGAATTCTTGATTTAACCTCATCATTCTGCACAAAATTTAACGGACTGAAAGATGTTTGGAGCATTTTTAGGTCCTGTTTTATATTCAGAAAGGGGCAATGCATTTAAAAAAAAAACTTTATAGCAAGCTGGTCTTACTTTTTTCCCCAACACGCTTCTCCACCTCGTCTGCAGAGGTGCAGACGAGGTGGTAAAGCACTTTATACTAGTCTGTGTCCTCATTTAACCATTCACACAGCACTCTACTAGATCTCTCTAAAAAGCTAACCCAGACAGATTTTATAGAGACTAATCAGTGCATAAATCACATTCATATGCAGTTGGGACTCATGAGAGGCAGTGGGGGTTCATTGTCATGCCCGGGGACACTTCAACATGTGACTAAATATCAGGAACTGAACTCTCATATTGGAGAACAACTCCCCTAACCACTCATCCAGCTATGTATACTGGTTTGTTTACCAGCATTCCAATTTAAATAGCCTGAACAACTTTCATGCTATGTAGTAAAAAAATGTACCTTYGGTTTTCCAGCTCTGTACTTCAGTTTGCATGTATCTACTTTTTACCCTCAAACTAAGAAGTGAAAGTGTAATCAGTCTGCAGCTGGTACAAAGTTCAAGAACTTTTTTTTTTTTCTTCACAAAATACACAATGATTTGTCAAAGAAGTCTTTATAAAATTGCAGTGTTTTATTTCTTTTCAACCACATAACTGCTTGCTGAGTAAACATTTGTGGTTTCCATGTTGGGGACAAAATATTTAAACTCCTTTTTTGTTYTTTATTTCCAGCGACGTCAACGAGCATTGACCGGAGTGCACCAATAGAAATAGGTCTTCAAAGACCGACACAAGGTATGTTCAGCTTTTAAAATGTTTCAAATTTATTGTTTCTTTAAAACCAAGATGTCCAGCTAAGGCCAGTTTCATTGATTTGAACCCACTGGTGTACATTTTAATGCAGTTTGTGATTAAAACTTTGTAGAAACACTCTGACACTAAGCACAAGTCTTTATTCTTCCTCTCCAAGTCAAAAGAGCAGCTGATGAAGTTTCTTCTGAAGCCAAAAAACCAAGGATTGAGGTAAACTCATGCAACTTTCTTTAGACAAAATACATTCAGTATGATTTTTAATTAAACTCATGGTGATCTGTGCACAGTTTGGTCCCTTTTTAAAGTGGCATTCAGGGTTGTGAATAATATATTACCTGTTGTAGGTGGCCCTTTGAACAGCTTTAGTTTGAGTAAAAAGTAGTTTAATTTAGACTTAATACAGTGCTCTTTCCTTAAAACGGCTGCAATCGTCAACATTTTATATCAATAAACAAAACATCCTGCTCAAAAAGACTCGGACCTAGCAACACTTATTTGTGTTTGAAAATAGCCATAGTATTCCTTGTAAATACCGTATTTTTCGGACTATAAGCCGCACCGGACTATAAGCCGCACCCGCCATTTAAAAAAAAAAAAAAAGCGCAAACATCAACATATAAGCCGCACCGGACTATAAGCCGCACCCCCAACATAAAAAACAGTACACCCAAATTTGTCGTCAAAGTGAATTCAACATCAAAACATAAAAAGCAAACCTTTTTAAGAATTAAAGTTTGGAGGAATACGGTTCATTTAACTGACCTTATTTTGGTAGTTTTCTTTAACAATTTCTGGTCCAACAAAACATCTCATTCATCGTCCTCCGGTGCACTGAAACCATCGAAGTCCTCCTCTTCAGTGTCGYAGTTAAACAAGCTGAGAAAAGCTGCATCACACAGCGGTATCTGTTCAGTGTTGCTTTCGGTGTCGCTGTCCTCCCGGGGTAATGCTGGCTCTGAAGCTGTGGTGTCCTCTTCACATAGCAGTCCAGCCTTTCAGAACCCATTTGTGATGGTGGACTCATTCACTCTGCTCCACACTGTTAGGATCCACTGGCAGACATCAGGAAATGACGCTCTTCGCATTCAGCCAGTTTTTGTGAATGATTTATCCCCGTCAGTCATCCAAGCCTCCCATTCACCCCTGAGTGCTGCTTTAAATGCACGATTCACACTGATGTCCAGGGGTTGTAAAAACTTTGTTGTACCTCCAGGAATAACAGCAGGAATTGAGTTTGTTTTCTTGATGGCTGCTTTCACTAAATCCGTGATGTGGGCCCGCATACTGTCCAATACAGTGTCTGTTAAAGATCCGTTGTGTCGTGTCTGCTACTAGCTAAAACAAAATGGCGCTACACCTCTGGCTAAGCTGGCAGTATGGTCGCTCGGCTGTTGACCGGTCGACGCGCCGTCACGTGATTGTTCGGCGTTTGTTTTCGCACTGACCTTTCATAGTTCCCCTGAGAAACCCAGAGCCCAGCTGCTGGGAAAGCCTTCCTGCTCCAGCATACGTCACTGCATGGGATTCCTTCTCCGGTGAGTGCAATGCGGAAAAAAAAATGTCAGCAGCTCTTCACTCGACGTTTATCCACAAACTGGTCCTGGATTAAGCTCCAAAGTTTTTAATCAGTCAGATTCCACCATGAAAAATGTCTGTTTTATCCCCTTATGAGTTTTTGGCCATTGACTATCTTTAAATCGCTGCTTCCTGGTACAACAGTCGGCTCTGGAAGGATCGCTTTTTTCTTTTTTTTTTCTCTTCTTTTTTTGAAGCGAGTGGTTGAAGCAAATGGAGCATAAGAGCCCCCTGGTGACTGAAGAAAAAATCCACGTACAGTATAAGCCGCACCGGTCTATAAGCCGCATGGTTCAAATTTCAGGAAAAAAGTTGCGGTTTATAGTCCGAAAAATATGGTATACATTTTAATGCAAAACTGATCACATTGTTAAGGTCTATGAAATTGTGTTTATATGCTGAATTTTGTGAGATTGGCCTTCAGGTGTAGACATAACCATTGTTTAGGTTGTCCGAGATAACCTATTTTCATTTCGGACAACCAGATCCTGTCTCCTGGTTGTCCAGTGGACAACCAAGCAAAAAAGATCTTGATTAAAGTTCTTTGCCGCGAGTGTCCATCATTTGTAAAAATGAAAGGAGAAAAAACTTGATAAAACTGAACAGAACACTAAACTGTAACTTCTTTTAAGGTCATGTACACATGAAACTCCTATTTAAGTGAAAATGTTTGACCTAGTGTGAGCAGAAAGAAGCTTATGAATGTTGAACTCTATTTCTAAGAAGACACTGGAAGTTTTATTCATGCAGCTCCTGTCAACCTGGCTGACTGAGAACAATTATATGTAATAAACTTCGTCTACAGAACAATATACTTGTTAAATTACATTTTTCTTGAGATTTTTTTGGACAACCAAAATGTTTTGCTGACAACCAGGTTTTGTCAACAGGTTGTCCGTTGGACAACCTGGAAAATTTCCTTATGTCTACCCCTGGAGTTGTTTTAAAACAAGCAAAACTGAGTTAACACATTGTTTATTGAAAACAATATGAGGGAGACATTGTCACATTTTTAATGTGTTGAGCTTAATATTGACCCAGAGTTCTGCTTTACGCTTCTTCTGGTTCTGTGATGCTCAGTTTAGTAAATTAGAATTGAAAGGAAAATCCTTAGTACTAACACACATGACTTGTTCTTCTGTAAAACAAAACAAAAAAAAGTGTAATAGTTTTAAGTTTTCACTGTCGATGGGACTACAATATTTAAAATATGGAATTAAAAACATTCAACTTGATTGGTCGGTTTCCGCAGAAATGTCAGAATTGTTTCTTTAAACTCACCTTTGAGATTTTAACCCGCTTAGTGTGAATTTCCAATCTGCAGATAGTTGAGTGCAAGTAGAGAAACATTTACAAAAAATAGAAAACAGTTTAACTAAAACATCAAGTAATGACACATTTTGCGTACTTGGGTTTTTAGTTCCTAATTTAACAACGCACCTAAAGATTGACATCTAAAGAGAAATTTAATTTTGACACCTGAWTTTTTAGAAAAGCTTTACATCAGCAGACTTGCACTGTAACTGACTAATTTTCTATTTGAACTACATTTTCCTACATCATCAAATATGAATTATTTTTATTATTCACATATATTGTATAATATGTGATTGTATTGATTATACTATATATGATCATTCATATATGATGAGCTTGTCTGATGTTAATGTTTCATTTGGCTCTTAATTATTTCTACAAATCTAACTGAGCTTAAACAGGCAAACTAACAGGTCAGGGGTTGTGTTGGGAAGTGTTGCTCTGCTGACATGTTGGCCACCAAAGTACTGTAGATTTCCACCCTTCTGCATTTATTTATTTTGTGGCTTGTACACTTACCTTCTGAGTGTTTTTTTTTTTTTTTATTGTAGATGGACGTAGGTGGATAAAAATTTACTGAATTGAATAAATGTCYTTTCTATCAGGTCTAATTTTTTAAAAACACAAGTCATTTGGTTAAAATGRTAGATTTTGATCATTCAATTTAATGTACATATTTGTCCTTTTAACTGATTGACTTAATAACCAACTGCTCACKAATGCAAAATAACCAGTGAATTTAAGATAAACTTTCTATTCTTCTGGGTCAATAACAGTAATTGTTCTGTACTTACRCATTGTGACTGTAGGTAATAAACCTATCTTTAAACAAACAACTAGTAACTATTATACTTGTAACTATTTCAGAAATGGGTTGTTTTTCTTAACGAGTTTTATGATTGTGTGTTGACCCAAAGGATGAAGAACGAGTGCGTTTGGACAAGGAGCGCCTGGCTGCTCGTCTGGAGGGCCACAAGGAAGGCATCGTGCAGACGGATCAGATCAGGTAGAATAAATAATTGATGATGCATTTTATTGTCATGGTACAGAGCAAAATGAAATTACATTTAAGAATAATAAACGTTAAAAAAAAAAGATCACAAGKAGCCGAAAGGATCTTACTTTGTAGGCTGGCAGGGTTCAGCCTTGGAGGAAGGGTGACGGGAATTTGAGGTGGAGTAGCTGCTCCTCTGCATTGAAAGGGGTCRGTTAAGGTGGGTCAGGCTACTGATTAGTAGGGAGGCACCTATTTGAAAATTTCAGCCAATACTATAATCCTATATWATTATTGCTGTTATGGCCGATAACTGATATTTACCAGTATTGCACAAACACACACATTATATTATACATATACACACAAACACACTTGGGTCTTTTTTGATACCGTAAATAATGAAACTGATGCCGCTCAACTAGGAGTGTAACGATACAGAGATCTATATCGATATATTGATTTGAATGGTTCATGATTCAGTTATATTGAGGCAAAATGAAAATATCGATCTATATCGTCATCATATGCTCGATGTGAATCAATATCATATGCCAATCTAACACAGTCATTGTGTTAGATGGGCATATCGCATTATATGGATCACAGKCATGCGAACTGAATTGAATTGAATCATATCGTGACAGACTGATATATCAAGAAATATTGAATCGTCATCCAAACATATCGATGTAATTTCGTGTCATGATAAAGCTGGTGATTTACACCCCTACACTCAACCCTTTCRCCTCCCAAAACAGAAACACAAAGCTAAAAGGTGGGAAATTGATATRGGACGTTAATATCAGCCCAGTTTTACGTATCGGACCAATACTGATATTCTAAAAACTGACCAATATCGGTCGATACCGATATTGCTGGTTAGTGTTTAATATTTTTGGGCATGTCCCTCTGGGAAGAGACCTGGGGCAGATCCAGAAGTAGCTGGAGGGATTCTAAACCGTCTCTGGCCAAGGAATGCCTCGGGCTTTAGCTTGTTAGTCCAGTCAGATTTAAACTCATTTTCACAGAACACTTAAGCAAATCTGACCTATCCCTTTTAACTAATATTTCTGTATGAAATCATGGACGTGGTTTCATCATTTTTATTAAGTTTCTGTCCAACCCTCAGTGAACTGTTCAGGTAAATGATTCAACCTTTTTCCAGATCACTGTCAGAGGCCATGTCCGTGGAGAAAATTGCGGCCATCAAAGCCAAGATTATGGCCAAGAAGCGCTCAACCATTAAAACGGATCTGGATGATGACATAACCCTGAAGCAGAGAAGCTTTGTGGACGCAGAGGTGGATGTCACCAGGGATATCGTCAGCCGCGAGCGAATGTGGAGGACCAGGACGACCATCCTGCAGAGCACCGGAAAGGTCAGCATTCACTTTAGGCTCAGTGAGTTTCTTTTACCAAAACCACCGGTGAGATTAGCGTGAGAGTTTTCAGGTTCTCTGTAGAGGACTGTGTTTTACTGGCCGGTCCAAATCGGTCATGCGAGTCGGCTCGCTGTGGCGACCCCTGCAGAGTGGAGCAGCCAAAAGGAAAGCAAAGAACTGCAATCACAGGGACTCATTCAACTTGTTAAATTCTCTGTACCCCTCTACACTCATCATTTGTAAAGGCTGAAACATACTTGCTCCGACGCCGACAGGTCGACGCGCGGTCACGTGGTTGTTCGGCAGTCGTTTACGCACAGACCTTTCATAGTCCCTGAGACAACCCGCGCCGAGCTCAGGAAACCCCCCTTCCGATGAAACATACGTGACTGCATGGAATTTCTCCGCAACAGCTGACAATGCAGAAAAAAAGACTCGTCACTCACCTGACGTATTTTTCCACATCTGTCCTGGTTAAAGCTCCACAGTTTTTATCAGTCAGATTCCTCTGTGCACGTCTGTTTTATCTCCATTCATGAGTTTTTCTCGGTTTGACTAACTTTATAAAATTCTGCTTCAACAGTCTGCTCTAGTCAGAAGCAAGTTTTTTTTTCCTTTTGAGTGTCGGAGCGCTTCAGCACAAACAAACACGCCCACGAACTTCAGACCAATCACACATTACCGTCGACACGGGAGGGGGGTCAAAAGTTCTACCGTGGGGGGTTGTGCCAAAAGGGGCTGTCGACACGACGCTGCGAAGCCCGGTGACGTAATTTTCGTCATTAAACTGCGACAACCCGTGCTAACGTCAGCAGTTCGCAGGGAGTATGTTTCAGGCTTAAGTCGTTCTAGATTTATTTACAGGGGTCGACATAAGCGCTATTTAGGTTGTCCGAGACGAGCTATTTTCATTTCAGACAACCAGATCCCACCTCAAAAACAGATGGAAAAATTTCTCCTTCGTGACGGTTGACCGTCATTTGTAAAAACGAATATAATGGGGGAAAAAAAACTTTTGAAAGCCATCTAGTTTTTAAACAAACAATTCTTTCAACCAATAGAGAGAATCACAAGCAAAGTTCTACCCAATCAGATCGGAACAGGGCGGGTCATGCTYTCTGACTGACAGCAGGTGCACACAGCCTCCAGTCACTCTGTGAAGGCTGCGCACCATTCAGACAGTTTGTTCGTCAAGCGTTTGCTCTCCTATTTACAACATTTCATAAGTTATAAAGAGTACTGCTGCATGTCCTTTTGGAGAAACCTACAACAATGTAAGCTCCAAGTATGAACGCCTCCACTGCTGGCGAGGGTGCGCGAGTACCCGAAGTGTGACTATAACCGAGCCTTCAGAACAGGTGAACACTCCAGTTCCAGGATGCTGTCATTGTTTTCAAGACTATTTTCCACAGAGTATTATGT